TTTAGGGCTTAAGGTTTAGGGTTTATCAACGATGCCAAGCATGTATCGTAATAGTTAGTGGGCAATGGCAGTGGCGGTGGTCCTGGTGGTGGTTGGTTCTTGATTATTGGTTGCGCTGGTTCTTGGTAGCTTGGTTCTTGGTTGGGGGTTGTTTTATGTTTGTTTTGTTTACTGCTGCGTTTTCTCTCATTGCTGTTATCTGTATGCTGTTGCTGTTGTTGCTGTTCCTGTTGCTTTTGCTGCTGCTGTTGTTTCTTGCTTGCAGTTGCATTATTGATGTTTACCATTTACTGCTTGTTGTCGTTTTTTTTAAATATTTCGTTGTTTGACTTGTGTGTCATGTTGATTAAGTGTTGTTTGTTGCTAGTTGCTTGTTTGGTTGTTCGTTTGTTCGTTCGTTCGTTCGTTTGTTTTTGTGATTGTTGGTTGTACTTGCTGTTTGTGCTTGTACTTGTTCTTCTTGCTGTTGTCCATTGGTAGCCGTCGGAGGCGTGGTTGCGCTCGTGGTCGTCGTGTTCGCCGCTGTCGTCGTCGCCGTCGTGGTCTTCGTTTGTGGTGTGTCATTCGTCGTCGTTGGCGTTGATGTTGATTGGTGGTGGTGGCGTTGACGGGTCGTGGTAGTGGCAATGGTACCGCTACTGAAACCCTAAACCCTAAACCCCAAACCCTGGCAGGTTCCATGTACCAGCTTCGCTTCGACGATATCGCTTGGCATCTTGACATAGAAAAGAATTGGACGGGTTGCGGTCCACGGAGTTGGCGCAGGATGACATATTCTAGGTCTAGGTCTAGCATTTAGGCTTGAAGGGTTTGGTGCGTTTCTCTTTCGGTGGGGAAGTTCTGGCTATGGAGTGCTGAACAGGGAGCAATTGAATCGAAAGGGACTCGAAACATTGAGGAACATAACATGACCAGAAGGGGTTTTCATTCTCTGACAAAGAGGAAAACTTCAGAAAACAGGCGCACACCTGTCGAAGGGTGTTCGAGTATCCCAATGCAGGAGAACAGAGTAGATACGGTTGATGATATAGACCTTGCATTACCCAGAATAAGGAACATACCATAATTCGCATAGTTGAGGGTCCTTCAGGTAATGCAGGGTTCATATTATCAACAGTAGGTGGAGAAACAGGAACAAACCGCTCGGCAGAGCAGAACAGAGCTGACAAAGAGATAATGTAGGGGCCCTAATAATTACCAATGCTAATTTTGGGGGTTCCTTATTATAATGATAGTACGTATACTGGGCCCCAAAACCCCATTCTGATTATTAAGGCGGCTATCTTAATGTGACAAAGAGGAGCAACCAAGTCGACAGGAAATCGATAAAGAGCGAACCCCTCGAAAGTAGACAGCAAACCAGTCGAAACGGGCTAGAGGGTCCGAGAAGCAGGAGCAAAGCGTTCGTAGGAGTAGGCATTTAGGCTTTTCAGGCTTCCATCAAGGTTGTACAGGGCTTTCCAGACTGTTATGAAGGTTATGTGCTGGGGATCTTGACACCTAGAACAAGGTTTACACAGTATGTTGCTGTAGTTAGATAGGGACAAGGGGGATGTCATCAGTAACTTTCAGGACACTATAATGCCATCCGTACACTACCATAGGACCAGACGCTGTTTTGTAGGGTCTCGAACGAAGCCCGCATATAGAACGTATGTGGAGAGCCGGTACGGTTTAGGTTAAAAGAGGGGCCTTAACAATTGCCTCCAGTATTTTTGGGAGTTTTCTTATTATAATTAGAGTATAATGGGCCCCAAAACCCTATTCTAATTTAGTAAGGCTCCTACATTATGGCTTGGGGTGTAGGGTATCTTTCAGCACTCAGCAGTGCCAGGACCTTAAGTCGTAAACCGGAAGCCTTGATCCCGAAGGGTTTAGAGTTTCGGGCCTTTAGGATTCAAGATTCAGGGTTTCGGGTCTAGGGCCTTTAGGATTTAAGATTCAGGGTTAGGGCCTTTAGGATTTAAGATTCAGGGTTGAGGGTTTCGGCGGTAAACCCTGGAGGGTGTGTGGAAGGACTTGTGATCCTTCTCAGGAGATCCCAACTAGAGTCCCATACCATGCGGTCACCCCAGCGACCATGAGACTCTAAACGCCAACCCTAAACCCTAAACCCTAAACCCTAAACTGTAAACCCAAGGCCCGAAACCTCAAGACAGGAAAGCCCTGAAGCACTAAGACTAAACCCTAAACCCAAGACCCGAAACCTCAAGGCCCGAAGCCTCAAGACAAGAAAGCCCTGAAGCCCTAAGCCGAGCGAAGTTCCGTGCTTCTGCGCCCAGAATCCCGACCGGAAGTCCTCGGTTTAGGGCTGAGGGGTCTAGGGTTTAGGGTTTAGGGCCTTTAGGATTTTAAGAGTCAGGGTCTGTTTCGGGTTTAGGGCCTTTAGGATTTAAGATTTTAGGGTTTAGGGCCTTTAGGATTTAAGATTCAGGGTTCGGGGTTTCGGGTTTAGGGTGTGCAAAGGACCTTGCCAGAGGTCTGCGCCCAGAAATGATCATGATGCTTCAACCCGAAACTGCTTAGGCGCTGAGTAGGTAACCTTCAACCTTTTGGGCGCATATAAGTACGGTTTAGGGTTTAGGGTTCATATATCCCTACTATAACTTAGAAGGCTAAACCTGTTTAGTACTCACTGCCCCTAAACTGCGAGGTTCGATCCTTTGGCCATCTGGAAGGTGAAGCAGTTCTACCGCAACGCCGGGGGACTCGGATGATTGGAAGCGAAGATGAGTAGGAGCACGAGGGTTGAGGGTTTAGGGTTTATAGGTTTCTCCGGCAAGTAGTCGTCGAGAACAGGAATTTGTAGGAGTTGCTGCCATCGTTGTGTAATTAGGACACGGGGGGTGGTTGCCTGTTGACAATCGCGTTGCTCAAGATACAGCACGGTTGATGATGGCTTAAGGATGATAGTGGTATTTACCGACAAGTCGGCAATCTTTTCTCTAATGCACAGCTATAGCTTTGCTGGTGCTACCCGAATTCCTGGTGTTAGAACTATCTGTGCCAGTGCTTCGTTGTTAGTTCGGATACACGACGGCTGCTGAGTAGTATGCCGCATCTTCCTGTTTCACACAGCTGCTTATGACTTTTTTTGTGTCCGAAAGCTGAAGCCCTGAACAGAGCCCAGGCCATCAACGTGCGTCCAGACCTTCGTATGCACCAGGCGACGGAGCATTGGGCAGGGGGCTCTTTTACCCTAAACCCTAAACCCTAAAACCCTAACCCCTAAACCCTAAACCCCAATTTTAGGGCTCAGGGTGTTGGAGTCGGGGGGGGGATGGGCTTTTAGAGGTGTTTATTGTTGGAGAGGAGGTTTAGCATTTCGGGTTGAGGGCTTCGTTTTGTAGGAGGATAATGCTTGGGTGTTTACATAAATTGAGGGTGTGAATTGTCGGCAATAGTGCGCCCTCTCAACCCTAAACCCTAAACCCAGAGCATCAGTACAACTTTTCACCGGGACGCGACTGGGTGAAGTGGCCCAGTCGGATAGTCGGTACTTTGGGAATGCAGGGGTCGGGTCGTCGCGTCGTGAGGTGTGTTGAAATCAACGGAACTCACGTCCCGGGTTCTTTTTACAACGGATCATCTTGAATTGAAAGGTGCCCTTCGCCAAGAGTCGCGGATGTTTCGGGTATGCCGGGGGTTAGGGTTAAGGGTGTCAGAGGAGGGTATTAAGGGTCAAGGATGGGAGAGCTTGATGGCGGAGAGAGATGCCAGGACCCTCATGGTACGAGCCCTTAAAGAAGGACCGCTAGCAAGGGCAGCCTGAGTGTCTAGAACCCCCGCGCCCCATGTCTGCAGGTCTACATCGACACCTGGATGAAGTTCGACTACAGGCCCGCAGTTCAGATGCTTGTCAGGTTCTGTAGGTGAAGAGTTCACTGAAGGTTCGAGCTTGGTGGTGGTGGTGGTGGTGGTAGTGGTGGTGCGTAATTGCGCCTTTGTGCAGCCCCGACTAGACTAGACCATACACCCCAAAATGCTTTAGGATCTAATTTCCCGAAGGGACGATGTCCTCGCCACACCATCGCACAAAAGCTGCAAGCCTACACCGCGCTGGCAGCCACCTTGCCACAACAGAGGTGGAGCACTGACTTCCCTCGTGAACCAGGGTCGAGCAGATCTAGTCCCTATACTCTAAACCCTAAACCCTAAACCCTAAACCCTAAACCCTAAATCCGAAACCCTAAACCCTAAACCCTATACCCTAAACTGCTGTGTGCTTTACAGTGCGACAGCAGCTTTTGCAACAGAGGGTCTTGGCCAGAAGCTGCATTCGGACAGTCGGTCTCCAGCTAAAGAACTCTCGGCTGCATCCCTGCAAGAGCACGTCCGTCTTGCACCTCTGTGGGGCTAACAATCTATACAGGTCTTGAGGCCTACCTCACTTGACGTTCTGGATGTAATGTTTATTATCCCCTTCGGGTTCAAGATTGCCAGCGAGTACCTCCCCAAAATGCTGAACCTCGAAACCCACTCGCCGCAGCCCCACACAATCCAGTTAGGGTTTAGGGTTTACTGCCCTAAACCCTAAACCCCTAAACCCCTAAACCCCTAAACCCCTAAAACCCCCAACACCCCTAAACCCCTAAACCCCTAAACCCCAAAACCCCCTAAACCCCCCAAAACCCCCAAAACCCCTTCACCACAGCCTCCGAGGCAGGGAGAGACCTGGGGCCAAGAGTCCCGAGCTCAGCCTCGA